GCCTGCTAGTAAGCCCCCCCCGCCCCCCCCCCGCCATCAAGGAAGGGACCCGTTTTCTTTCCGGCCCTACGGCTATGAGGAAATCACAACGGGATTTGTTTACAGAAATGCTCCAGTGAATGTTTTGCAACACTGCCTTCAGTTCCTTTCAAGGATAAAGTCTTCACCACTGCTGTCGCTCCCAAATATTTGGTTAGTGCCACAACAGGCATCTTAGTTAACCGTTAACCAGAGACTTTAATTTTTGACGAATCTTGTCATGTAAAAGTAGTGGCAGTATTCCCCCCCCCCGCACACACACACACACACCCGTCTCTCAACGATTGCAGCACATACCATTTCTTTAACCCTCCTTGAAAAGTGACAATGCTAGCGGTGCCACAAAACGAACAGATTCAATTTATTAAAGACAAAAACGCCCATTTAGAGCCAGACTTAAAAACAACAACTTTGAAGGAGCTGAGTGGTTCGGTCCCATTTTAGTCTTCAAGGCTGCTGAGCCCCTTAGAGCTTGGAAATGTTGTGTTTTTGGAGTACAGGTCCCAAAATCCCCAGGCAGGATGGCCAGTGGGCATGCTTGCTGCTGGATTCTAGGAGCTGTGGTTAAAAAAAATGTAACTTTTCCAAGGTCTTCTATGACAAAATACAGAGCAGTATTTGGCATTTATTTATTTATTTATTTATTTATTTATTTATTCATTCATTCATTCATTCATTCATTCATTCATTTATTTATTTATTTATTTATTTATTTGGACTTGTTCTTTTGCCACCAAGTCACCTCTGATGCATGGCGAACTCCAGAAATGAGCTACACTCCAAAATGGCCTGTCCTCAGCAGCCCTGCTCCGCTCTTGAAAACTCAACCCTGTGGGTGCTTTTAGGGAGTCAGTTCATCTAGTATTTGGTCTTTCTCTTTTCCTGTTGCCATCCACCTATCCCAACATTTTCCCTTGTCTTGCCTTATGTGCCCAAAGTAGGATATCCTCCGTTTCATATTTTTGCTTCCAGAAATAATTCTTGCCGTCCACCTTTCCCAGCATTTTCCCTTGTCTTGCCTTATGATGTGCCCAAAGTAGGATATCCTCAGTTTCATATTTTTGCTTCCAGAAATAATTCAGTCCCAAATCCTTCTGCTAGCCACCCTGTTTTGGTTCCACCAGCCAATGGACGTGATTGCTGGAGGACTGGAAGTTATAAAAAGAAAGGCAACTTCCCCAATGCTGCTATGGAGTTAGCCCCTTCAACATAATGGGCTTATTTCTGAATCAACTAAACCACCTCAAGGGAAGAATGAACCTGATGAATGGCGCTGCAGAATCTGCTATTGTATATTTAACTTACAAGCAGAAATGTATAAAATGTGCAAAATTTTCTGTGAATGACAGATATCTTGTTAATTTCATGAGAAGCAGAGATGTGTGTGCACAGAGGCATGCAGTGATGATATATATTCAGATATGCAGTCATTCTAGCCAAATACTAGTTCAGCATATCAATTTACATTTGGCTCCTGAATAAACAAAGCAAACATATGTCACAACTTCATGACAGATGGTTCAAGAGCAGAGCTGTTAGTTGTTTCCACACAGTTGCTACTTATAGAGAGAGACCCAAAACCTCTCAAAAACTGAGTAGTGCTAAATTCCAGATTTTATCCCATTTTTTTCACCTACAACAAAACCTCCTCAATATTTACAGATGCTTTCATGTTTACAAAGGGGCAGGAGGAAAAACTCATACAGTATTTTCACAACTGTTCTCAGTAGAACAAAAGCGATTTCTCATTTAGCTAACAACTAGATTTACCTTTATGATGAATAATGTTGACATAATTCATAAACTTTAAGAAGACTAACAGCACAGTCTGCTGTGTGTTTACTCAGAAGTAAGCCCCATGCGTATGAAACCACAGTCTATCAATGCGCTGATAGGGAACGTTTTTGAAAACAGTCCTACTGTGTTGGGTAGAGCTTTCTCCCAGGAAACTTGGAGTTTTTCCAGATGTCTTCCCCATCAAGCTCAGGCCTTGCTGGAATTTCTCCCACCATCAAAATGACATTTACCTTTATCCCAGTATGTGCAGCTGTGAACTCTCTTTTTCTGACATGAGTGTGGAGCACCTCCAGTGTCCCCTGTTTGTTTTCCCACTCACAGGTTCACCTTCGGACACGACTTGTTCTTTTCACCCTTTTTCGCTGCCACCAGAGGGTATTACCCTCACTGTACCAATTATGAATCTCAGATTACTGCTGCCAAATATAACACAGTTTATTTATGGTTTGGTAGGTAAATAACAGAAGTAAAATCATTGATGTTCTTTTATTATTCATTCAATAAATGTGGATTTGGTAACATGTCAGCTTGCTGGTATTCATTCATTTAATCAAGGTCTCAATATATTCTGCCTGTCTATGTATTTCTCATTACTTTTAACTCTCTAATATCCCCTAACACACCAACTTTCCAATCTCTTGTCTAAACATTTCACAATATTCTCTCTAAGTGACCCTCTGTCTCTCCCAGTTCTCTTGACTCCGCCCCTCCAGTGCTGTCATAGGCTCTTGCACTAGAGCTCAAAAATGATTGACAGGAGTGGCGTGTGGGCTGTCCACCACAATGAGTTTCCACCCTTTGCCCCCACACCCCAACCCCTTGGTGTATTTTATGCCACTGTGTCATTTCTCCTGTCAGAAGAAGAAAAGGGCATGCAGCATTAGCAATGCCTGGAAACTGGGGATTTGGTGACAAAAGAGGGTGCTTTCTAAGAGTTATATCTAATTGAAACCAAATGATCTGGGCGCTTGCTGTCCAGATGATCTGGGCGCTTGCTATGTCTGCTGTTCAGGTCCTAAATATTGGTGGGCAACTTCCAAGTCCTTGATCATCCTCATTATACAGTAATCTTTATCTTTTAATGAAGTTTGATACCCCTTCAAGTGGAGAATGCTTTCAAAAGGAGGATAGTCTTCTGAGGGTCCTTCAAATGGGATCATTTTCCTTTCTCAAACATTGTGTAGCTACTTAAGACAATTCCCTGGAAGCAGCTGCATGCCAGCCCCTTCCTTCCATGCTGGCCACCTAAATGCTCTCTTTAGTGCAGAGTAATTCTCAGAGCAGTAATTTCCCACCTTGGGTCCCCAGATGTTCTTGAAGTACAACTCCCAGAAGCCTTCATCACTAGCTGGGTTGGCCTGGATTTCAGGGAGTTGTAGTTGTAGGTTGGGAACCACTGGGATAGCACTACTGGAATAGGTTCCACCCAGAAACAACCAGGGGGCAGCTGTTTGAACTACTCCACCAATCCCAGCAAAGCTAATGGCTGTTGCACAGGTGGCAGACCAAATGGATGGTACATCCCAGATATCTATTGGTTTATCTGGGCTGTGAAAGACAGGTGCAAAGTACAAAACTTTGATGCACAGGGAAAGGTTCTGGCTCTGTGAACCAGAATCTGTTTTGCATACAGAACCTCCCCATTTCAGTCCTTGTGCTTCTCTGTAATTGAAACAACCAAACCAATGAGCTGGAGTTGTCAGATTCTACTTATTCAAGTAGCTGTAATTAGATGATGGAGTAATATGGAAGCATAATTGTGATCGTGGTTGTTTATTTTATTCACAAAGCCATCAGAATAAATAAAAGTAAGCATGCCAGTTTACTGATTGTAAAATTATGACCTAATCTTCTTCAAAGGAACACAGGAGACACAGAATATGCTGTTTTATCTTTTTATAACCAAGATACAGATTGAATAATAACAATAACAATAACAATAACAATAGAAAGCTAAGATCCAAGGAATTAGTGAAATATGAAACTGTGTCACACCTCATCTGTGAATGTCCAAAAATTGCACAGTTTACAAAGTTAGACATGATAGAGTAGCAAAATTAGTGCACTGGTCGTTATGCAAAAAATATAACTTGCCAGCCTCTAAAATCCTGTGGAAACTTCAAGTAGAGAAGGTGTCAGAAAATGAGGAAGTCAAGATCTTGTGGGATTTCCAGATCCAAACAGATAGACACCTTGAACATAACACACCAGACATAGTAACAGAATAGTAATCGAACATAATACACCAGACATAGTAACAGAATGAAGACATGTATTGATCATTGACATTGCAATTCCAGGGTATGCCTAAGTTGAAAATAAAAAACTGGAAAACTAACAAAGTACAGAGACCTGGCAACTACTCCCGGGAATTGAAACATCTTGCTTGTGGATGAAACACACTTCAGTGGTCCCCACAGTCATGGCGGCTTTGAGAACAATATCAAGAAATGTCACACAGTAAGCAGTAGCAGATCTCAGAAATAACACCATCAGAGATACAAAACCCAGCAATATTATGAACAGCATGCATGTTGTTGTTTAGTCCTTAAGTTGTGTCCAACTTTTCATGACCCCATGGACCAGAGCACGCCAGGCCCTCCTGTCTTCCACTGCCTCCTAGAGTTGGGTCAAATTCATGTTGGTAGCTT